GAAATGGAGAAAGTAGTTTATTTAATTCGCATAAATGCAAGAATAGAATACATTGTTATATATAAATCCGAGTTGCAAGGTAAGCTTATCCATATACACTCTACATTAAACCTTACAAGAAATTATTATAATTTTTATTTTAAGTTGAAAAAAGTTATTATAATTTCTGAGAATTTATACCTTATCTTCGCTTTGGAATTATATATTTGACGTTATCTCAAATTGACCCCACTAAAACCACAAGTAACCGTTGAGGGTCCATTCGACTATAACATAACAAATGATTTGACACCAGAAATTACCAAATCGCCATCGTATATCTATATCAACTTGGTTGAATGTCAAAGGCTGATTATGTCATTGCAATGGTTGTCTTTGAGACTTCGACGATAGACTAACGACTTGAGAAGAACTGAAACCAAATATTCAGGGAAAGGATAAATGACAGAGGAAGAGTCAAATCACAGCACGTGGCTGTCTTGTGGTATTTATTGAGAGCTCACTAATATTTTAATATCATCATGTACATTCATTCCGGTTTTGGTTTAAGTTAACCACAGTGTTCTTTTTTTGTCAGCAGTTAACCACAATGAATTGATATCATTCTGAATATTAATTAGAAAGTTCAGAATTACATAAGACAGTTAACGATTGAGATTTTTTACAGAAAAAGTGTGGTGTTGTTGACTTGTTGTGTGAAGACGTTCTCATATTGTTAGAAAGTGTCAAAAACTCGAAAGAATTAAATATTGTAGATTTTCAAGAAAAGAAGAATGAAATATTGTTAAGACAAAGTATTCTGTAGATATGAGAAAAAAAATAGAGAGAGGCCCTAATCTATTTTCTTGGTTGATTTGTCTTTCCGCTTCCATTAGATTATGTTTAGTAGTGCACGAGTGGACTGGACAGGAGGTGGCAGACAATGAAGGGAAAGATAAGAGTCTGTGCTTCCGGCTTAAATAGTCTCTTGATTTTTTCTACTGGCTACTTTATTAGCTACTTTTTAATTTCTCTTTTATTTATATTATTTTAAATTTTATCAAAACACTTGTGTTCTTTGTTTTTTCTTTTCGCAAAAGACTTTCTAACTATTATTTGAAGGCATTCATTTTCTAAATTAAATAAAACATTGGCCCAGTATAATACAGAAGCTCCACGGCCTTGAAAAGCCCAAAGGAGGGAAATTTAAGAAAACCTAAAAGGCTGAGTTATAGCAGCATTGCTGTGCAAAAGTTTCATTATGACAATTTTTTAAAAATGTACCTGGATGCTACTCGTGGAAACTACGTTCAAAACTAGTGAGACTAAACAATTGGATGTAGCCGAAGCAATCAAATGGCTAAGGTCGACTATGGGCAGGGCCGGTCCCGAGCACAAACGAGGTAAGCAACCGCTTCGGACATCATAATTTTAAATGATAATTTTAATTACATTTAGAGCACTAAAAAGCTTTTTACATAAATAATAGACACAAAATTTTAGAGAGTTTAGAACATCAAAAAAAAAAAAATGTTGGACCTGCACTGAATATGGAGATCACGTTGACGATAAGTGTGAAGCTATAAAAAATTTAGCGAGTCTCGAGAATTGATAAATAATCCGTGATATTGACATATTGTCCCCAACCTTTGGAAGTTAGGGAGAATGGGAGATGGGTGCAAGTCTCATTTAGATATATTCGAGCTATATGCCTTATCCGAGATGGACGTAGTACTGTGCCTATCAAAGCTGAAATGGGAAGATTAAAACGAACTAAAGAAAAATGTTATTTTATTTGCCATTAACATCATAGTTTGGATAGTTAGAAACAAATATTTGGCAAAAAAGAAATAAAGTTAGAAACTAATATAACCCACTGATAATTAAACCTTTGCTAGAGAATATAATTTATATTCATATTTGAAAGTAATGTTTTTTAGAAATTCAACTTTTTGGAAGAGGATGATTTGTCAGAAAACTTGTACTTTTTTTCTTTCTGCAACTAACTATTTTTACCCCTTTTGCAACTAATCTTTATTTTGAAATGAAACACCTATAAATCTTTTTAGTTAGTTTGGTTGGGTATTTCTGTTTTGACTTTTCATTTCAGCTATTCTGATAAGGTAGTATTTTTATAATATTCATTTGAATGCTTTTTAGAATGGTTTATAATCACAGTACAATATATTTTTGGCAGGACGAAATTTAAATTTTGTTGATTTTCACCAATTTTATGTAGAAAAGTATTTTATACCTGAACATAGAGACTAAATGCAGCCCACTATAATGCCTTTGGGTTGGTATATGATATGGAGGCGACATCAATGACCCATGTGGCGTCACTTAGTTTTAGGTATTGAGTGTACAAATAGAACGGGAAATAATAAATATATGAGTTTACAGATCTTTTTTATTCTATACGTTTTAAGAAATGTCTTGTTAGGTTTCCATCATCATCACAAAACATCTTATATAAGAGATGCCATAGCAAAATAAAACACATCTAGTGCTATTTAAAACAACATTTATATTTAGAATGGTGATGTTCAGTTAGTTTCCGCAATGCATTGCAGTGTGATATAAACTTATTTTACCAACTAAAATCCGAACATTTTGAAGAATAGGCCTCAAAGAAATTGGTAAACTGACATGTACAATTTGAGGAACTTTGTATGCTAAACTTACGTACCTGATATTAAACTTTATATAGTCCTGCGAATGAAGATTAATGGTGTTTAAAGGCTCGGAATGATTTCTGACTTAAATTCTCATTTCACAAAAATGCCAAACATAGACTTGAAAATGACATATAAATGTTAGCGTTCGGAGAATCTAAATAAGAGGCCATCCTCGCTCTTCGCCTTTGGAATGTCTAGAGGTAGTATTCAGAGTGCAAATGAACGTATAACTAGAGAAATGAGATAAAACAAAACTGTGTGTGTTTATAGTAATAACAAAAAAACAAAACTGTGCTATATTTAGCAAACCAGAAAAAAAAACAAATAATGTATGTTTTGACTTTTTTTTTGGAGAGAATGTATGTTCTGACATTTCATCGTCAATGAAAGCACATGTAAAACAAATTCATATATTAACATATTAAAAAGAGATTTCCCATCTACTATATTTTAAAATTTTCTGTGGTTACCATTTTCCTTAAGCTTGTGAGAAAATTTGTAGTTACTAATTAAGCTTTGTAAATTTGTAAAAACCTTGACAAGTGTTTATAAATCTGTCGTACATCTTCTGAGTTTTTAAGAAAATATTATCAAAATTTACAAAAATTTAAGAAAACTTACAAAATTTCCTTTTAAAAATTTCAAAGTTTCATACAAAATATCAGAAATTAAACCATTAGTTTAACAAAAATCAGATAATATTATTTTGTTAAGAACAAGTCCAACGCAGGTATTTATAAAAGTATCAAACTATTAAAAACAGAAGAAAAATAGAAAAAGAGGAGAGATGACAACAACCGATCTAAGTTAGTTTAAAAACTCTTCTATATACTCTTTCGCCACCTACTGTTTGTTTATTAGCTCAGTGTTATTATTTTGATTATGTAATTTGCTTAATTTGAATTTTTTTTTATAATGTATTTGATACCCAAAATAACATATTAGCCGAGAAGGTTAATTGCCTTCAACGACGTAAGTTCTCCATAGTTTTTGGCTAATCAATAGATTGGTGTCGGTCTTCAGCAACCTTAACTCCATTTCTCTCTATATCACACGTCAGAGTTAACTCTTTTTTTTTTTTTGAAACACCCACGTCAGAGTTAACTATTATCCATATTTTAATCAATTTGATATCTACTTTGTGGTTAATAATTTCTCCAAATCACTTCCTTACGTATTCAGAAGATCGACTAATTAATTTACATCACAACGGTTATAACACAGATATTGTTATGATGTTCTATTACAGATTTTTTATTCTTTATTTTTTTAACCATTGAATAATCAAAACCAAATATTTCTTTGGCGTACTAGTATCAAACCACCACAACAACAAAATCATGCCCATTCTCTCTCACCTCTCTTTATATAAACAACACTACTAAAAAGTATCCACCAATCCATATACATCTCAACTTCCAAATCTCCCTCCCTCTCTCTTTCTCTCCTCTTCTTTTATATCATCTGCTCTCCCCGGCTTATTCCCTCATGGGGGCTCAGGAGAAGCGTCTTCGTTTCCAGCCGATATCAAGTTACGAGATCAAGGACCGGTCGAACCAAACCGTGGCCGCCGATCTTGACGGGACCTTACTAATCTCTCGTAGTGCATTTCCTTATTATTTCCTCGTGGCCCTCGAAGCGGGGAGCTTACTCCGTGCCTTGGTCTTACTCGCATCCGTACCGTTCGTTTACCTCACGTACCTCTCCATTTCCGAGACTCTAGCAATCAACGTTTTCATCTTCATCACCTTCGTGGGTCTCAAGATCCGAGACGTCGAGCTCGTGGTCCGTTCTGTCCTTCCAAGATTCTACGCCGAGGACGTGAGGCCAGACGCGTGGAGTATCTTCAACACGTTCGGGAAACGGTACATAGTAACAGCGAGTCCACGGATCATGGTCGAACCGTTCGTGAAGACATTCCTAGGAGTCGATAAAGTTCTTGGAACAGAACTCGAGGTTTCCAAATCTGGTCGGGCAACAGGTTTTGTCAGAAGCCCCGGTGTTCTTGTCGGTCAACACAAACGCGAGGCCGTTATGAGAGAGTTCGGTGGCGTTGCGTCTAGTAGTTTACCTGATTTGGGGCTTGGCGATAGTAAGACAGACCACGATTTCATGACAATTTGCAAGGTTATTCGCGCCATTCACTCTTCTTTTTCCTATGATATGTCATTTTCGGATCTTTTTATTACTATCTAACTCATTAAATACTTATTCACGACATTATGAGTATATAACTATATGTTGATGGAAATTGGACGTACGTGCAACTTTTTTGGTGTAGTAGTTATTGTGTTGTCCTGTGATGTTTAGTGTTTACTATCCTTCCTAACAATTTTGGCCAGTTATATATATCTTAAATGTGTAGTAGCACTTAGTGACGATAAAATTAGGTAAATAGCTGTAATGAAGTTATTTGTAAAAAAAAGTACATGTTATTTGCTAGATAACATATTCTGTTACGCTGAATAAGACTATGTTTCTTTTTTCAAGCTAAATTAAATAATATTTTACATAGAGAAATATCACCCCCGCTTAAATGTTTTTTTTTTGGCAAATGAAAGTGTTTGTGTTTCAAACACAAAAGGCTATAGTCATTGCTTATTAAACTTTCTTATATGCCTAATGGCCATTTAAAAAAAAAAAAAGATCTGTTTCTGAAACCTTTCAAGTGAAACTGGAGACTGATAAAAGTAGCACCGTTTTTTTGTCTTCATGGTAAAGCCATGATCATATTTTGTTTTACTATTCTTGACTCTCCTTTCATGTAGTACACTGCTAATCATTTATTCCAAGTAATTATATAAATTAATCCTAAATAATTACAGAAACTACGTACACATGTAATCAACATGATTTTCTAACCACTAATAAATTTTGATAGTACACATGTCTCACTCGTGACTTCTTTGGTGTCGCATCTCCATATCCTACATGATAAGAAAAAAAATGAAAAGTGCATGCTACTAGACAATTACGTACCAATCACAACTACTTCTGTGCTCCAATTAATATAACAAACATTAGTGATTATTGACTGCAGGAGGGTTACATGGTACCACGTACCAAAATCGAACCACTACCAAGGAATAAACTCTTAACCCCTATTATATTCCACGAGGGCAGATTAGTCCAACGACCAACGCCGTTAGTTGCACTGTTAACTCTCCTTTGGCTTCCCCTCGGGTTTGTGGTCTCTCTTATTCGAGTCTACACGAATATTCCGTTACCTGAACGCATAGCCCGTTACAACTACAAGCTCACAGGTATCAAACTAGTCGTCAACGGCCACCTTCCTCCGCCACCTAAACCTGGCCAACCAGGCCACCTGTTGGTCTGCAACCACCGGACCGTCCTAGACCCGGTCGTGACAGCTGTCGCGCTCGGTCGGAAAATCAGTTGTGTGACCTATAGTATCAGCAAATTCTCTGAGCTAATCTCTCCAATAAAAACCGTTGCGTTGACTCGTCAGCGCGAGAAAGACGCAGAGAACATCAAGCGTCTCTTGGAGGAAGGAGATCTTGTGATATGTCCCGAGGGAACTACGTGCCGCGAGCCTTTCCTTCTCCGATTTAGCGCCATGTTCGCCGAGCTCACGGACCGGATCGTCCCTGTGGCTATCAACACGAAGCAAAGCATGTTTAATGGTACAACCACACGTGGCTACAAGCTTCTTGATCCTTACTTCGCGTTCATGAATCCCATTCCCACGTACGAGATCACTTTCCTTAAGCAGCTGCCGGCCGAGCTGACATGTAAAGGAGGCAAGTCGCCAATAGAGGTGGCGAATTACATACAGAGGGTTTTGGCAGGAACCTTAGGGTTTGAGTGCACCAACTTCACAAGAAAGGATAAGTACGCAATGCTAGCTGGTACCGACGGTAGGGTTCCGGTGAAGAAGGAAAAGATATGATCATTGCTCGGAGATGAAGAAATAATACAAAGATTTGGCTGGTTAGCTATTATTATTTAAGGGGCAACGAATTGATAAGTTTGTTTCTGTTGTCTTCACTGCTTACATAATTGTTTCTTTGCAAGTCTTTCTTTGTAATATCTTCAAGTTCTACTTTTAGTACAATAACGATTTAAGAAAAACATGAAACTTGGTATGACCATTTGCTTGGTCAGTTGGTTGTATACTTGTATATATATATTTGTTAATAGTATAAACATGTTATTTTCTTATATGAATGTAGTATAGCAAAAGTCACAACGACTAAAGATCCAGTGTTCTGTCATAACCACTGAAGATCAAATGTACCTCTGGATTCATATCATAAGTTTGGTCATAACAAAAGAGCCGGTCTTAAAGTCACAAACCCAAAATAAAAGAAAATGCTGAATTTTTTATTTTTTTTTTAAATTCCCATATAGTATGTTGAACCAAGTCCTCCCACATAGTTCTAGTGTAAAACTAACCACTAGACCAGCGGAAACTTTTAGAAATTGGTGGCCAGTTAGATACTTAGTTTTAAAATATTTAGCCTGAAGGCGACCGAAAGCATGGGCTTCTTTTGCTTAGACCCATGGCCGTTTCTGCATAACAATTAACGTTAAAGTTAAATATATTTTTATTTATATATATAGTAGCTAATATATTCGATCATGATCTTGTCATGTATATACAACAATGCATTGAATTCACAAATTATCTACCCATTTTAAAGCGACCAAAAAAATTCATCTGTTCCACAAAAGAAGATTTGTTTTTACTTTTGATAGATAAGAGAGTTATAGCACCACATGGAAAAACACGATGAAAAGTCTCGTCTTTACATCTCTGAAAAATGTGTCTTGATTTTTAGTTTATTCTGAAGTTAAAACAATAACGTGCTACAAGTTACTATATATACTCCCTCCGTTCCATGATATAAAATGTTTTGGAGAGATTTTGATGTTTTAAAATATAAAATGTTTTGATACCTTTAAAGTATTTTAAATTTATTGAAAAATAGTTAACCAATTAAATCTACTATATTATTTAAAATTGGTTAAATTATGTTAAGTTTATATTAATTAGTAGTATTATCTCTAAAAAGTAAGTTTTTTAATTTTTGAGTATTCAAATAAAACATCTTATATTAAAAAACTGAGGGGGTATGAATTGAGATGGAGTTTGGCAGTTGTAGTGTTCTATGGTGGGCCAGTTATGACTTGTGACTATAACTCTTTTGTCTATGGATCGGAGACTTTGGCTGGGGACATATGATATAAATATATATAGTAACTATGAAAAATCCAGACCGGTTAGAAATCTAAAGATTCAAGATCACGAGCAATACTCTTGTATTAGAATTGTGGTTTATGTTTTGACGCAAACCAAAACACTTATGCTAAATCACAAAACCGGATTTAGTGCACCAATTACGTAACTGATGTTTTACACCAGTTTGTTTTCAAAAATAACGTCAAAACGTATTTGTCAATTTCTTTCAAGCTTTTTTTTAGATGTGTAGATTTATCAAAATAACTAGTTGCTTTTTGAAAACAAATTGATTATACTTTATTGATAAAATCACTTAAATAATTATTTGATCATTGCTAACTTTTGAGAAAAAAAGTAACATTGCACCCAAAAAAAGTAACAACATTCCCCAATTTTACAGTACTGTTCGTTTTCTACCTTTAGCTTCGTTTCATGTTAAATTTTAACCAAGTTTTAATTGACAAACCTGTCGAGCGATTACTTGACTGATATCTACCGAGTAGTAGTAATCTGTTTAGTCTGCAAGAAAAAGCATATCAATTTAAATGACCAATCTAGTTCGGTGCAGATCACTATTTTGATATATAAATATAGATAATTAGATTATATTAATAGAAAGCAACCTGTAACCGGGATTTTAGATCCAAATAATCCAAATTAACCATTTCCTAACTAGTTCTATATTTGGTTATTAACTTGTATATATACATAAATAATTATATTATATTAATAGAAATCAAGCCGTAAATCATGATTTTAGATCCGAGTAAAAACCGATTCTTACACAATAACCCAAATTAACCGTTTCCTAACTAGTTCGATATTTGGTCATATTAACTTGTATGTCTTTGCAAGTACATCTAGTTAATCACGGGTTTCATATTGGATACAAGCAGCATATTCTACTCTCCAGTCGCTCTATCTATAAATGGAACAATGAATAGATAATAAAAAAACTATGACCATTGTTGGGTCTACTATTGTCATATGATTATGACTCGGCCATTAATTTTCATCACGAGGGTATATCTACTTAGGCACCCTCTTAAATATTTGAACAACCATTGGGCTTCGATAACAACCTCTCCTTTCTGCGAATATTTACTCCCCAATTTATATTTATTTGGAAGTTTTCAACCCAATTGGTTTCAGTAAGTCTCCGATCTTGACTTTCATTTACGATCTTTTGATCTTATCATCGCATGGATTTAGTAGTTCCTTAGGGCATCTCTATCCTACTCCATAATTTACTCTAAAATAGAGTAAAAAATGGAGTGATGAACAAAAAATAAAATATAACTCCATAAATAGAGTTATGTTTTTAAGTAAAATGGAGTAAATTATAGAGTAGGTATGTTCTTAGACGTTAAAAGAAATAAGCTTTGTAATCAACGACCAATTGATTAGTAGTTAATACACCTATGTCAAATACTTAGTAGAGATTCGGGAAGTCGCATATTTAAACCGAGCTAGGAAGAATTTGCTCTCAAAACATAAAATTTTGTTTTGAATGTGTAGAGGTTTTGGGTCTGAAAACTCGTACGTCTTTAAATTCAGTATCAACCTATTTTAAACTTTAGGAGAGCAAACCCTTCCAAACAGAAGCTGAACGCACAGATCAATTAGATTTCTTTTAGTATATCCAATAAATGTGATGACGCTCAAAATTCAAAAGAAAAAAAAAACTGGAATAAGGTAGGCTTATAACATTGGGTCTATAATGGGCTTGAAGGCCCATTAAGGAACACTATTGTGATCGACAAGACAAAATCATCATATACAAGCAAGTCGGACTTGAATCGGCGCCATTCTTTTCACCAACGCTTCGGTGCTCCTTTTCTTTCCTTCACTTAATGTTGATACTCGAAAGTCCACGAGAAAATAGTCGGCAGCGATTTCTTCTACGTCAACGTCTGACTTCGTTTTATGTTTCTCGTGCATGGAAAGGAGATCATGATGAGGTACACGTCCAGATATTTAGGGCTCCATCAGGGGAGAGAAAAATGTATTTTTCGTCCTCGAAAAGAGTTGTAAACTTTGTCTTGTCTTGCCTTTTTTTTTTATCATTGATTTTTCTTGGCTATCAAGTATGTTTTTGGTTATATAGCTTGATATGAACTGGCAGATACAGCTTGTTCTAATTATTTAAAAAACATTTTTCTTCAAAATTTTGAATAATAAATAACATAATCAATAAAACCAGCCTTGTGGATTGTTATGACTAAGACTAGTTTAATCAGAGGATAATAAACAATGTTAAAACCTTTCTCTGAAATAGATAAAATATACATATCAGCACGTCTTTGCCTGCAATAGCCTTCTGCTTTGTTGTTAGCATTGTTTGTTACTCATTGATTTTGTTTCCACATGTGAAGTTAGCTGATGTAGTATACTAATGGCGTCTTTTCTGCGAGTTATTGGCAAGTTTATATGTTTATTTATTATTTATTTTTATTTTTTTTGTGATCTTGTTTGATAATATAGCATCACATTCAAAATTTCGCACAAGATTCTACATTGTTCATTTCTTGCCTTTATTTATGAATGTTGGTTTATTGATTTTTTTTTTCATCATTCAGTTCTATCATGGGATTTTACTGTTGCGTGGTTTACCCTCTGGATGTTAATGATATACTTAACGAACGAGATGAAGCTCAAGTTCACGGACGCAGCTGCAATAGTGAATGTTTTTGCTGGCGTATCAGCTGTTGCTCATCTTGGCATGCAGTTCTTAGTTGATGCATTTATTGGTCACTTTTGGGTGCTCTGCTTCTCTACTTTAGCATTCAGTTTCGTAAGTTCTTACACCTCCTCTCAGCTTTGGTTTCCTCAGATAAGTCAATGGTTTGTAAGATTCGCAGTTCCTGCTGGCTGCGAGGTCTTAGCAATGCTGATTTTTCTCTCTGGTGCTAGTTCATACGAACGAAAAGGCCTAGTGGGAGCCTTTTGACAACAGTGTTCCGGGTCTTTGCTGCTTCTGCTTCCAAAATGTCTAGTGTATATCGAAACAACTCAAACCAGCTATATGAAGATAATGAGTGTGGTCTTGATATGAAGCCCCACACAAGTAGCTTGAGGTTTGGTATACATTTAACGACTTAAGTTGTTTATGTATGTAGTTCTTGACTTTTGTTTTTTTTTCAAACACAGGTGCTTGGACAGAGCTGCGATGATACTTCAAACCGAGCCCTTGGAACAGCAAAGAGAAAACAGATGGAGACTTTGTAGGGTTACAGAAGTGGAGCAAACCAAAAGCGTGATACGCACGGTTCCTTTGTTCACGACATCTCTTATCTCCGGGATAGTTTTCTCCATTGGTAACACTTTCTTTCTCGAACAAGCAAACGATTTGGACTCCAAGTTCGGATCCTGGAACCTCCCTCTCCCACTCCTCTTACTCTTTAGTGAGGCTGCAAGGCTAGGATCTAGAGAGTTATGCGTCATGGCTGCAAAACGCAACGCCAAGTTACCAAAACAAACCAAAACACCATATGGTATACCAGTCTCTATCATCCTATCGGTATTCTGTTCCGCCATTGCTGCTCATGTTGAGTCCATGAGACTCAAAGTGGTTAGAACTCAAGAGACCGTCCCCATGAGTGTTTTCTGGTTGCTCCCACAGTACGTTGTTCTCGGTTCAATCACTGGGATTTATGAAAACAGCTTTGCGCTTTACCTAGAAGAAACAGTTCCTCAAGAGTTAATCAAAACATGGTTTTGTTTAATGTGGGTGTGTGTGGGGTTGGGATCATGAGCAATATTGCTCTTGTTAGTGTGGTGGGTAGAGTAAGCGGAGGTAAATGGTTTCAAGACACAATAGACAAGAGCCGGTTGGATTATTATTATTGGGTGTTAGCAGTTTTGAGCATGTTCAACCTTTTGTTGTATTTCTTTGTAACTTATAGGTGGTGTGTTACAAGAAAATGATCGATAAACTAAGGATTTTTGTGTGCTTAATTTCATTTGTATGTCCTGATAGTGATAGGCCCATGAGGTAGAGGTTATTATGTTGTGGCTTTTGTAAAAACAAATGGCAAGCTTGTGTAAAGTAAACAAATGATGTGTCAATACTTGACAAGTGATTTCTTTGCTTCTATCTACTTGATTTGAGATGTCATCTTTATGAAACATCCAAAAGAATCAAAAATTTTGGTAATGATATGCAATACATCATATTCTATACCACGTCTCTAGTAATATAAGAATACAAACAATATAAATAGGCAACTAAACCTCTTGGCACATAGATAAACCAGGAGTTCTATATCTTTGTTGGTTTATATATGAGTGTGACAAGACTAACTTTAAAATGAATCTAATAAACCATCAATGACTTTGACGAAACAAAATAAAGTAGGTTATGTCTTAACATGTGAAAAATCAAATCAAATCTAACATTATGGAAGTGAGATTACAAGAATAATTAAGAATCAATGGTCTTGCTTCAAAGTCAAATTTGCAATCATGCGGAGATACTTCTCGTATTACTTACCAAAGGCATCAAAATGGAACCCACCAAACATCAAAGTTAAAGAACAAATTCACCAATAATGTGAAAGGTTATTAATGCTGCAAGCTATGTTTAAATGCATATATGTTTCTGCTGCTACTCAGTAGCTATATATTGGTAGTCGAATATGCATAATACTTAGTTAATGGGATTTTAACAATGGAATATATAGAGTATTGTAAAAGTATTGTAAAAAGGACGCACTCTTAAATAATTATGAGTTGGAAGTTGAAAATGTTGACATGATATTAGATAATAATCAGTTCAAAAAACTATATATAGAAAAAAAGTAAATATTCACATTTAAATGAAATTTAAATATAACATAAAGTAGTGTACTAATCCACCATACTCCCTACTATAAGTTAGTAGGAAAATTCTTATGATAATTCACATAAAGTCCAAAGATAAAGCTATAAAATTGGCAACTTGGTGTGTAACAAAAGCATATCAATCATTATGGCTTTTTGTCCATGGTTTCCTTTAGGCTCTCTATAGATTCTCATTCTCTTGTCAACTTCGAACTTAGAAAGTCATTTTTCTAATAAAATAATTGTGAAAACAGAGTAATTAAATACAATACAAAATCCATGTTTCGACTAGAGATTTGTCAGGACGACAAGTTGTAAAATATCTCAGATTAAATAAATGGAAAACCCACTTTACATATATAGTTTAGCTTCAATACTCGTAAGTATATAGATATGTTTTTAAACTAGCATGCCTATTTAAAATTGTATTTATATTCTGATAATTTCCGAAAACTTAAATCACACTTTCTAAACTATTTATAGGGATATACGGTCTAATGGTCCTAGCATCGATTTTTATTTAAAATAACTTTGGATTTTGCATTTTATACATCCCATCTAATTTTAGTTCATACTGAGACGTTAATAAAGCACAGCTTATTAGAAGAATATGTAAGTGCAATAATTATATTAATTATTTATGAATTGAAAATACATCAGTAAGGGACAAGAACTGATATAGTTTACATGACAGAGCATAGAAACTTGTAATAAGCAATTTGAGCTCACAAGAGTTCCAAATTACACAACACGAAAAGCAAAGCTAATCACTCAACAATTAAAATAACCAAAACATAGTTTTTTTTTTTTTTTTTTTTTTTTTTTTTTTTTTTTTTGAAACAACCAAAANCAATAAAAACAAAAAGAGTAAATTAATGATTATTAACTCGTAACCTCTCCGAGATCTTCACCTTGTGCTACATTTGGAGATACGCATTGTACGATTCAAATTGTGATGCGTTTAGAAAACTTTGCTCTTGCAGTTTTGCCATGTAAGGCGTTGATGACATTCCAAGAAGCGTTTCTTGAAACGCACTTTGATTGTAAAACGCAGCCGAAGTTTCGTCGTATATCGTTTGACCTTCCCACTGATCCGATGCCTCCCGCTGGCTTCCTCCTAGTGACGGTGGTGAGCATGGTGCGGTTGTGGTGTCAGCGGTTGCGGCATCAGCGGTGTCTGGGATGTTGACGGTGGTGATGTCATGGATGCTTGATCGGCGTTTATCTTTACCACCGTTGACTTGCCTTATGAAATACTTCTGAGCGTGACTAGCGACTTGCGTTGGCGTCCGTGTGGTCACAAAGTTTCGAGCTATGTTTCTCCAATCGCCTTTTCCATATTTCTTCAGACCCATCAGAAATTGTCTGCGTATTCATCAAATTAAACAAAATCAAACCAAACAGACTCTAACACATAATATCACTAATCACATACATCAACTTCAAACAAGAAAGAAATTAGATTTCTTATGTTGTACTTTATATAAATGTTTCATCAGCCAGCCATTAATACGTATGATTTAATGTGCGTGACTGCGTGAGTAAATTAACTTAATCATTTCACATCAAACGCAACCAAGAAAGAAGCTAGATTCAATCTGCTCTGTATATAGTTAATTCACCCATGGATTCATAATCTCAAAACATGACGAAAAATTGTTTAAAATCAGAGTTTTATTCTACTACATGTTTAATGTTTAAATTCATTAAAAAATTGGTTTGAAAGTCGTAGAAAAGATGTAAAAAGATATTATTTTGTAATCTGTTTAAAATTCAAAGTCAAAGCCTAAAATTCGTTCTAGAGTCATAAAAACAAAAGTAACACTAAAATAATTAATTTGTAAAAGTAAAAACTGTTAGAACATAAACATGTATCTACTACTACTATGTAAATGGGCGTGTATGCCTTGTCTCTCTGTCTCTAAACCAATACGTAACGTACGCACTAAGGATGCATTTTGTGTGTTGGTGGATGACTGTATTGTCTTGATTAACTATAGAATATAAATAATTATATGACCATTGTTATAATTATAAACACGTTTCCAAGAAAAAGACGTACGTATGTGCAAGTGCAGAGTCCAAATCTAGCATTTGACGTAGGCAAATGGTTAAAGATTAGTTGTGTGTACCTGTGTTCTTCTTCTGTCCATGGAACACCTTTCTTCCTCTCATGCTCAGCTGCTCTCGCGGCGGATCCTCTCTTTTCTCCGGCGGCGGCGAAGTAATATCCGTTCATGTTAAACCCATTGTTTCCAACGTCGTAGCCTCCCCAATCTAGTGTGAATGAATCTGAGGCGTAACCAGGGATGGGGATAAGACCAGCTTCTATGTCGCTGACGTCTTCCTCTAGCTCTCTGTATTGTTTGATCACATCTCCGACTGTTTTGCCAGGGAGCATAGCTGCGACTTTGAACCATCTGTCGGGTGTGTCTTTGTCGTAAAAGGCTAAAGCGTTTTCGAACTTTTTGTTTTCTTCAGCTGTCCACTTGGCTCCTCTGTTCTCTTGGAACAGCCAGTTTGATGTCTCTATGTATGTTGCTGGTGACATAACTTCGAGTCCTCTGCTCATCTTCTCTTTTATTTTTCAACGGTTCTTGATTGAATTAAAGAAGAGAGATTTTGATTGTGTGTGAGTTGGGGACTTTGATCTATGAGGATGGCATTTTATTCAAAAGGAATCTGTGAGAGAAAGAGAGATGATAAGCATCTAATAAGATAAGAGAAGAATCTAAAGGAGGAAAACAAGAAGAGATGCTTTTTTCCAGACTCTAAGGACAAGAAGAAGAGAAAGATTCTGTTTATGAGTGTTGTTGTCTGAACGATAAGACTCTTTTACCAAACTAGTTTCTTAATGCTAGATCCGAATCCAGAGAAGAAATATAAATGAAGAGAAACAGAGGATCTCTCTCACATGAGAGCAATGGAGAAACTCAGGTGGGTTGAGAACGTTTGAGAAAGTGAGCAAAACCTTTCTTTCTTCTTCTTCTTTCTCACAAACTCTCAAGTCTAAAAGGGAAGAGAGAGAGAAGAGAGAGATGTATGAAACAGGAATGATCTGAGAGTGAGAGGTGAGTTAAAAAGCTGTTGAGCTGTGATTGTCTATGGCTATTTCCCATACAAAGTTTTCTGAGCCTTTTAATTATTATATTTATATTAAGATCTACTAGCTTTTGCAACTTGTTTTAATTGCTTGACTAATTGAGTACTGAACGTTCTTGGGGTGAAAATTTTTTTCTATTTACAGATTTTTGTTTTGTTTGAAAATTTACAAAATTATGATAAAATAACTTCGTTAGTATATAAGTTACTTAAACTAAAACTATCTAATGCTAGAGGACAAATGTATTTCTTAAACATGCGTATAAGTTGTAAGAAATGAAAGTTTTGATGTTTTTTTTTTGAATATTAAAACAAAATAATTACGAATTTTATGATGCTCAAGTCATATATAAAACGATGCTACTGTTGATGTACAAATCATGAAATAGTAACGTTTTCTGTAATTTTATATTTTAAGTATTCCACATCAACAGAGTAGTAGCTATTAGTATACTTCAATTGAAATGAAAAAGGTGTCATTTCAAAATGAGATTAGTTGATATCAAACATTTCTTTTAATATCTATTTCAGAGTACTTTTTGATTCAATCAACCAATAAACACTCGTCGTTGTATAGTCTGTGATATGGCCTTCACACATAAATATAAGTAAAAGACATGTGTCGTCTTCGAATAGGTGAACACGTGTACAGATCTCGTTTATTCTCAAGGAACTTTTTTATTTATTTGTATGCTTTCAGGACCGTTGATTGATGAGATTTTTTTTTTTTTTTTGGTCATCAATGATTCATTTCGAATCCTATTGGTTTATGTATTTGTTTTGTGGATGCAAATAATAATATGACTCACATAATGGGAGAGATATTTTGTGGCTTAGATGTTGCCTATTACAGGCCAAAGACGTTTATAGATGAACCAATCACAGACTCAGACGAGACACACAAACGAGGAGCAACCTTCATTGGCTAGCAAGATTTAAGGTCGGTTAAAAAGTAAGTACTATAGTAGTTTTCCATGGTGTTGACATTAAACCTTTTGGGCACATGAGTTGTTTGTTTGTATTTATATTGAGATGCTTTATTTTATTTTTCTGTTTCATAATTTGGTAACAGTATATTTCTGGACCACAGTTATGATAACATAGAAAATTGGAGAATGTGGTTAAATGCATATTTTGAAATTAGGATGCTAGGAAACAGGAAAACAGCATTATTCTACTACAAACTATGCTTGTATATGAAGGAAGACACCCAAGATTAGTCTTAATCCAAAATACTTAGGATCTAACTAATAATCATTAAATGAACAATAACAAAGACAAAGAATGAAGAGAAACAAAACAATACAAAAATAAGTGTTTATATTTCTTGTTCTTTCTCAGATTTATTAAGAATATTTTTTTCATAGTTTTTTAGATTAAAAAGAATGAAAAAATATTGGAAAATTGTTTTTAAGGAATGTAGTAATTTATCATTCTCACTCGTTTCCTAGGGTTACCATTTAGACTCTTATACAAACTACATAAAACTTACAAAAACTTGCACTAATTGGCGTAAAAGCCTTATTATTGGTTATAATTCTGATAATGAAAACGTAATGGTCATTACTTTTTTAGTCAAGATCGAAAATCTGTTCCTGGATGCTTTTATTTTAGCCATTATAAATTGTATACGATGGTTATTTAGTTTAGACATTACCATGAGTTTCAATATGAAATCTTTTGGTCAAATAGATAATTGCGTATGAAATGGTAATAATTTCTTAGGGTCTAGTATTTGCCAGACTAAATTAGAGAACTATCAGCGAAGATATTTTATTATAGAATGATGATACCTTGCTTAACTTCTTGGTTCTAACACCAAGGAAGTAATCAAATCGAATAGTACATGGTTTAGTGTCATAACTGCGTGCCTAAAGGTAACAAACTCGTAATAATGGACTTTAGCGAGAGATCGAAACTTAACTAATTGACGTAGGAAACATAGTCATGATGATATTCTAAAAACATCTAAAATTCAAAATGAATGTTTACCAATTACTGTCTATATATGACATAAGATTATTCCAATCTACTACAAGATTCTTAAGAAAACAAATTAGGTTTAGCAGTTATATTTTTTCAAATTACTCTTCCGTTAGAAATACTTTGTTGCAATATAATACGTTTGATTAAAATTTGAGATTACATATGATTTTACTGTGGTTTTTGTCTTATTTTATTTAAGATCGCATCATTAAAGGATTTATTTGCACAACTAGATTTTTTTCTGGTAGGTTTAGCAGTCATGGAAGTTCCGACTCACTGAGTAACCTTATCATAGAGGACACAATCAGAATTTGATAGCATAGAGGATTGCGAAAGGGTCACTCCCATAGTACAATATTACAGAAATATAAGAATATCTCCAACGTACAATCTCAAAAATATCTTAAGACAAAAGCTGAAAAGAACAAGTAAAACAGAAAAGAGAACTACTACAGTTCTTATAGAAATAGTTATGTTTTTTCCTTTAACTTTTCTTGAACATGTCTTTTTCTCAAGGTTAACTGTTTTTATTAAACAAAATATTAACTTGTTGGTTGTACATAATTTTTCTTTAGATCGGTTGTAAATAAATTTAGACGAGTTATCAGCACTGCTGATGCTCTAATATTTTCGTATTTTAAATTGGTGTATATAATGATATTTAAGGTTTGCAATTATTCATTTCAAAGGACTGATAGAAATAATTGTTTTGATTAAAATGTATTTTTCTCACTTTGTTCTATTTTTTATACCTTTTAAATATTCATACAAATACATATATTTATTTATAGGTTATAAGATTTATGCATTATTTGAGACACTTAGAAGTGAGATTATATATATTTCTGTGTAAATTAAATATAGATCCTGAAATGCTCATTGATCCTTCAACTGGAACTCATAGTCTCGTATCATGGGACAACATTTACTTTTCTGAAGCCTTTCCTAAAAAAACACTTACTTTTCTGTGTCAAAAATCAATTTCTATATTAAATAAACAGCGAAATTCTACTATATACAAATGGGTTAGGTAGCTGAAGTGACCACGCCATAACAGACACAATAATTCTCAAAAGTAATTTTTATTAATTAGTAGTTAATTAGCGGTTTAGTAGTTGAGGATTCAACATATCAGTCGAATTTGATATAGGGACACACTGCGTGTATATGTTTTATGACAAAAAAATGTTTTACTACAAACTTAGATTTTGGTATATATATCGTACATGCCTATTTTTTAAAATAAGATAAATATTATTGTTCAATACAACTTATTAGAAAGTATTTTCAAAAAAAAAAAAACTTATTAGAAAGTTAGACTTCAAAAATGATCTCGTCGGTTATGTGAAACTCCCTGTAATGCCAAAAAATCACCCAGCCATCTTTTTTAGTCTAAAAGATTCATGCAAATTCGATATCATCGAGAGAGGCATGCATAATGTATTCTGGAAGACAACTCTATGTACATATAAACAGACGTTAAAAAATGAAAAAGAATCCCAACTTAGATTCAAACTTTTTAAATTATGGCCAATTGGACTCAGATTCATGAATTTCATTTTTTTTTCAGTTTATCCTTCCATACTATTTCATTAGACCGACGATAAGTAAATAAAGAGCCTTCCCTTCACACTTTATCTAATTCTAATAAGAAGCGCCAGAGAGGTTTTCAGATTAAAAAAATCATTAAATTAGATAATAATTTGATGTTCTCCACATCTGCAACTCTTAGAATTTCCGACTTGTTTAAGTGAAATGTCAGAGTTGTTTGTCCACCACTAACACCCAACACACGATTATATATTTAAAATATTAATAGGCCAGTAAAATATTATGTAAAGTTAGCATACGTTGGTTTTTTAAATTGGTGTGGTGCCAGACAATGACTGGTATTGTTATGAACATTATTATCGTAGAGTTTCCTCAAAGGGAAAACATCTCTTATTTCCGAATGAGGACACTTCTTCTCCCTAATAATTTATTTTGCCTTTGATATAGTTAGCGATGCAGGCAAGTAAAATGTACATTATAATTACAGTTATATTTTTAATTTTACCTTTAATACAAATCTCCGACCTTTCTAGGTTTATTCCCTATATTTTGGTGGTATACTGGTACGTAATACTAATTAATACCTTTCCTAATGGTTTAGTAAGTACAATCATCGTCTTGTTGCGATGATATTTGACTATATTGCTTATTACTACTGTAGATCATATAAAATGAAAACCTTATAAAAATCTTACGCAAGAAAACTTAATGTTGTTCCTACGTTGTTTTTTTTTTTTTTTGGACAACTGTTCCTACATTTTCATTATTAATATTTTCTTTGGTAGCAAATTATTCATCCATTTGAAGTCTATATGTTTTCTGCTTCACTTTATATTTTATGATGTCATGTGTTACATGGATTTCATATATTCCATCAAATGATGATAATTTAATTAACAATAGTTGTAGTTTAGTTATACATTATTATGGATC